ATCTCAATGCTGACGGGGCTTCTGAGGAGGCCCAGGGGAGATGAGGATGACGGTTGAGAGGTCCATTGGTACAAATAATGACCTATATTAGGATGATGAAACGGCAAACTATCGACATCTTTGCAGCTAGTGTCACTAGTGTATGTACTGGTACTTTGGGTCCGAACTGTTTTTTTTCATTGAAGCAGATGTGGATCATTCTTTCTTGCTCCCTTTTTTCAACAGCTCTGTGTGTAACAGAACGATGCTTGATAACAAGTGCCGACGTAAGTCAGTGACTCATCAGCTATGCTGGAACCGACACGCAGGAGATGCGGTCAAAACTCATGCAGTTTCGAAACTCCGAAAGTGATTGGGTGTTGCCCTTGGATGAGGAGAAACGCCCAACTTTGGACGGTCAATACAAACAAGGGCACATATGGCATTTACAATCTACTTTGATATACTTTTATATGTTGATTGCATTAGTTGTTTTCAAGGCCGAATCTGTGCGATTGCACCAGCACCGCTGCCTCACTTGGCGATCGAGCATGGACCTCCAACACTCAGTGGGAATTTCAGGACCCTAAAATGGAGGTACTGTACAATATAAGGCCATATTTTGTCGAGATATTCCCTTACATATCTTACACAGGCCTTATATACATATATAATATACATACACAGAGTATATTTATACGTGGTAGGTAGCTCCAATTTAGGTTCCTGAAATGGCCATTGATTTACTGTACAAGATTTTCTGTGTATCAGTTTCGCGACATGAGCCGTTCATGTCGCGCTCCAGGGTGGAAGTACAAAAGCTCGAAGCAAAATTGAAAGAGTTCAAGGCTGGGCGGCTGCTGAAGTATAATGCTGGCGGTTCGTGCAGACTTGGCCAAGGGAAAGAACTCCAAGCAAGTCTCCAGGCAGAAATGACTTGATTCACTTGATTCATGATGATTCATGCTTAATTTATGTTGATTTCCAACGGCGTTTATAATCCTTTTTCTACAATCGGAGATGCACATAGGAGCTGAGCTTGGTGGGCAGTTTGCAATACGAGTCGGCCACCTGAGCACCGAGACCGTGCCAATGAGCACGATTTGTTTGAGAAAACTGTGAGAAGTCAAATTGAGCATGAAGGCTTTGTGACTGCGCCTTCAGGTGTGATTCATGTGCCTACAACATCCTACAACTCACATTCATGAGACAGGGAGAAAAGCCAAGTTGAGAGTGCAGAGTGGGCGAGGCGTTGCTATGCAACACCAATTCGTTCATGGCTGCTGTTTCTCTCTTCGCTTGTTGGTTCAAGCCATACTGGGCACGGAACCTTGGTTCCCACGAGAAAGCACCTGGGCATCTTTAGCAGTTCCTTCATTCAATCTAGTGTGTGGCCTGTGTGGCCCTCTATTTGAGTAGCCATGAGCTAGACAAGCTGAACCAATCTATTTTTCCTTCGTGCATCACCCCACAGAAGGAGATACCAAGACTACAAACAAAACAGGGCATAACGCAGCTGCAACATGCGCGCATCAGCGGTGGGTTTAGTTGATGAGGAGGAGCCAGTTGCAACCAGTCGGATAAAACCCTAGAAAGCTGCAGCGGACAGGACCCCAGAGAACTGCGGGAAGCGACTGCTGCAAGACAGGCCGGGAAGCGGAGCCACTAGCTGCTACAGTTTTCGATGAGACCTGCGACGGTCACAGTTTTTTTGTGCCTGAAGTGCGAGGAAAGAACTGCTTTCTACACCTTCCTATGTTGTCTTTCCGCGCGGTTGGTCTTCCTCGTTGCACACGGCCTCACATGTTTTGCGGCATCTGCCGGCAACTGAGAAACAATGTTTCAAGATGTTTCTAGAGAATCTATATAAACTCAAAGGAAGGTAAGGTGGATTCTCAGAGAGTATGCAACTGCATAATTACCTAGGTCTCATTGCAGGACATTGAGAGTGGCATAGTTTCGGACTCAAGGAAACGCAAGAATTGTGTTGATCGCTCGGTCTGGACGTGAAGGTGTGGACTTCCAAGCCCTTCAGCCTCAGCTCAGGCCAACTGGTGGTTGATCTTCCTTCCCATTTGGATCGGATGCGCATGCTGCCCAATCCTTAGATGCTGAAAAGCCATGGACAATTTTGATGCATCGGATCGCAAGATTTCAGCACAAAATGAGGTCTTGTTTTGCTCATAGTGTCCTGGTTTGCTTCTTGCAAGTGAGCCTGGCACACGTTAATTGGAGGTTCTTTAAGTTGTTCCCCTGATGCCACTGACGAATACTGACGCTACGGTAGGTACATCAAGCTGTGCCTCTCTGAGCGTGTTGTTCGAATCAACGATAATCCAAGCATTCTCACAGAGGCCCGACCTTTCCTGGGAGATGCTCGCTATTGCAGTAGAATAGAAAGAGTCAGAGGTTTGAAGGGCACCAAATTTTCAACCCCAACCTGAACTTGAAATAAGGTCAAAATACTTGTCGCAGCCTGTTTAAGCAGGGTCTTATACGTCAACGCCTCTTTAACCTCACCAGCGCAGAAGCAGCGAAGGCATATCAACAGGCATATCAGGCATATCAGGCATCTCGCTTCTAGATTTTCAGTTGACTCGCCAATAATTTGTCAAAAAGTGCATGAAGGCAGTCGAATTGCACGCAGAGAATCAGGACTAGCGTTATCCAAGTGCATTTGGCTCAAGGTATCTCTAATTCCTCCAGCTGCAAGGTGTATTACATTACTCCAGTCCCATGAATCTGGCGCTGTCCATTGCCCTGACACTGGCTGCCCTCGGAATTGTGCGCGGTGATGAGGGAAATGCAGGGCACAACCTCCGAGGTGCTGGTGATGCCGAGAGCAAGTCTGCCTTTCAACCTGTCCACCCAGACCCACGGCCTGGATGCCGTGGCTGGGTTGAGTGCGTGGATGGCTACTGGGGCAACTTCCGTTGCACTGATGGCCGCTATTGCAGAGGAGGCTGGGAGGGTGATGACAACAAGGCTGCTGAGGTAGAGGAGAACACCAAAGAACAAAAGGCAGCATTTGAGCCTGTCCACCCAGACCCACGGCCTGGATGCCGTGGCTGGGTTGAGTGCGTGGATGGCTACTGGGGCAACTTCCGTTGCACTGATGGCCGCTATTGCAGAGGAGGCTGGGAGGGTGATGACAACAAGGCTGCTGAGGTAGAGGAGAACACCAAAGAACAAAAGGCAGCATTTGAGCCTGTCCACCCAGACCCACGGCCTGGATGCCGCGGCTGGGTTGAGTGCGTGGATGGCTACTGGGGCAACTTCCGTTGCACTGATGGCCGCTATTGCAGAGGAGGCTGGGAGGGTGATGACAACAAGGCTGCTGAGGTAGAGGAGAACACCAAAGAACAAAAGGCAGCATTTGAGCCTGTCCACCCAGACCCACGGCCTGGATGCCGTGGCTGGGTTGAGTGCGTGGATGGCTACTGGGGCAACTTCCGTTGCACTGATGGCCGCTATTGCAGAGGAGGCTGGGAGGGTGATGACAACAAGGCTGCTGAGGTAGAGGAGAACAGCAAAGAACAAAAGGCAGCATTTGAGCCTGTCCCCCCAGACCCTCGGCCTGGATGCCGTGGCTGGGTTGAGTGCGTGGATGGCTACTGGGGCAACTTCCGTTGCACTGATGGCCGCTATTGCAGAGGAGGCTGGGAGGGTGATGACAACAAGGCTGCTGAGGTAGAGGAGAACACCAAAGAACAAAAGGCAGCATTTGAGCCTGTCCACCCAGACCCACGGCCTGGATGCCGCGGCTGGGTTGAGTGCGTGGATGGCTACTGGGGCAACTTCCGTTGCACTGATGGCCGCTATTGCAGAGGAGGCTGGGAGGGTGATGACAACAAGGCTGCTGAGGTAGAGGAGAACACCAAAGAACAAAAGGCAGCATTTGAGCCTGTCCACCCAGACCCACGGCCTGGATGCCGTGGCTGGGTTGAGTGCGTGGATGGCTACTGGGGCAACTTCCGTTGCACTGATGGCCGCTATTGCAGAGGAGGCTGGGAGGGTGATGACAACAAGGCTGCTGAGGTAGAGGAGAACACCAAAGAACAAAAGGCAGCATTTGAGCCTGTCCACCCAGACCCTCGGCCTGGATGCCGTGGCTGGGTTGAGTGCGTGGATGGCTACTGGGGCAACTTCCGTTGCACTGATGGCCGCTATTGCAGAGGAGGCTGGGAGGGTGATGACAACAAGGCTGCTGAGGTAGAGGAGAACACCAAAGAACAAAAGGCAGCATTTGAGCCTGTCCACCCAGACCCACGGCCTGGATGCCGTGGCTGGGTTGAGTGCGTGGATGGCTACTGGGGCAACTTCCGTTGCACTGATGGCCGCTATTGCAGAGGAGGCTGGGAGGGTGATGACAACAAGGCTGCTGAGGTAGAGGAGAACCTCAAAGGCAAAAGCACTCAAGGGGAGGATTCTGTGTTCATTCCCTAGCCAGGAAACGCTGTCCTTGTGGTTCCAGATGTGTGTGGCATCGGCACAAGTCGTTTGCACCGAGAGGAAAGAACCTCTGTGTATTTTATGGTTAAGTGCAATGAGGCTTCAAATTTCCTCTGCTGTCTTTGCACAACGTTCGAATCCACGTTCCCGTCAGACTTCACGCATGTGCCGGTGAAGTTATTTAATGTTATTTATCTTGCCAAGCTTCCAAACAGCACATCTTGCTTCGCCGGAAGTCTGACCAAAAAGGAGCTCTTTGCAAAGCCTTCGATGAACTGGCTTGTGGATCCGATCTCGCCATGCTTGAGTCATTGTGGAATGATGTGGAATGTCTTCAGGTGCTGCCAGATATTACGACGACCATTCCTGGGCTGATATTCCTGGTGCTGGCATTTTACAGCGAGTGTGCAACCTCAAAATCTCAACATTGGTACTGAGTTGCTGCATGTTGCTGCCATCTTGGCATATCTTGACTTCTCTTGACCTAGGTTTTACCTTTGTGAATATTTGGCGACATCTCAAGCAGGAGGGGCTCAGTGAACCGTTCAACCATAGTGAGCCATCGTGAACCATCAGTCATCCAGTCCGACTGGTCGTTGTGGCCATAGGTGAGCCAAGCTCCCTGACCAGCTACATGGTGCTCTCCACTTGCGTTGCTTTGTGAAGTCCTCAGATTCGTAAACTGCAGCGCCAGTGATCCTTGATTGGTACCCCAATAAAATAACTTGACCCACCAAATCATGGCTTTGTGCGAATCCAGGCATCAGTCACTGTCAGTTTGCCGTGCGAGGCTTTCAATTTGTCAGGGCACACTCTTCACAGAGAATTCAGCTCTTTGGATCTCACTAGGCGGAGATCATCGGAGATCTGGGAGTGGCGCAATCTCACAGTTTCTTTGGGGGCTGCCATGACTGCCATGTGTCATATGTGTCGGCGCAGGCGCTGGCCTCCTGGTTTCATCTCTTTCCTTTGCGGCCTCACGTGGAGAGCAAAAATCTGCTTTTCTTCAGGTCAGCTTCAGATGCTGTGGACACAGCTTGGTGAGTTGGACATGAAGCATTTTGAATTGTTGCAGTTGCAGCGACAAAACAATGGAAAAGGGATGGACATGGATGGACATGGATCGACCATGGAACAGGCGCTGATCGTTCTTCCCTTTGTCCTTGCTGTAGTCGACTTCTCAGAGCTATTAGTATTATTAGTGACACATCTTTTTCAGGATCCAGCGAGTGGGTGTGTCTGAAAATGGGTTATACAGTTATATACAGTTATACAGACATACCCCCAAGAGGCCATACTAATAGGGACAATGATGATCTGATTAACCGATGGATTTAGGGCTACCAATGGGTACCATATTTTCAGACAAAATGAGTCATGGACATCATGGGACGCGGACTGCCATGAGGCGACGTTACTGACTGCATCGATTCACAGGCCAATCCGTGCCACGCCTTGTTGGGGTGAGATATGACGATGATCATCAGAACTGAATTCGCTCAATCATAATTCACTGCTCTAAATACATATTATTACATTTTATTGTGGTATTATTGAATCATACACATACTGTATACTATATCATGCACATGTGTGTGTGTGTGTATTTTTCATGGCTGTATGCATACATACACATATACGTACATGCGTACATGCATACATGATCATACATGCATAGATGCATAGATAGCTATGCGTATATATATATATATGTATATATATATATAGATAAAATGATACAAACATAGATATGTGATGATATTTATATATTATATATATTATATGCACAGCATATTCCTCAATATATTCCAACGCTTAGGATATCAACCCCGCAAGGCTGAAGCGCTATGCCGCAGTGCTGCGCAGAGAAGAGCAGACCTTCCAGAAGATCGAGGCCGGCAAAGGGTCAAACAACTCTGGATTTCAGCTTTAAAAAGGTGGGGTTGAACCAACCAAGGATATATTATATATATATATGGATCTATATGGCATATTATGGGATATACAATATGTGTAATTATATGTAATTGTATATGTATATCATATATATACACGTAGTAATTAATAAATTATATATATTATACACTAGCTTGCATATTATAATTCTTTGTATATACATATACATACATATTTGTATATAATTATGTATAAGTGTATATAGTTATATATAATTGTATATAAGCATATATAATTATGCAAATATGGTCCTGGTGGTGTTTGAACGTTAAGTATCCCTGACAGGTATGGACCACATGGAAGATGATGATTGGTGTTGATTAATATTGTGAATCTAGGGAAACCCTATTTTCAAATAAAACAATTTGGGTGAACTTGAATGGGTGGTTTAGGTCTCTGCTCATTTAAAATGAAAAGAGTATGTATATACATAGTACTGAGCGATTTTTTTGCATATGATTGGCCATGTATATAACCGATCATTGATTTCCAGAAATGTAAAGTATTGATGTTTCATTGAAATGTTGGTTTCCATGGGATTTCCGAGACATGACTGAACGAAGATTTTACAAGGTTTAGACATATATTTGGCTGCTAAATGGATGGTTACCTGCAGATTTTCGCCTAAGCTCAAATCAATCCCAAGACTGTACTGACACATGACGAAGAATGTGTGTAGAGGTATGAAATTGATGAAGTGCTTGAACAATGTGGTAGTTTTTGCCGTAGTAGCATTGTTTTTTAAGCTGCATTTTTCACCTTCAACAATTGTATGATACCCATGAAACATCCATGTTTGGGGTCCATCAATTCGAGGCAGGGCCATGTCATTTCGCTGTTTTTAGACAGGTGGCCCTGCTGGGCATTCTTTTCATTTGCCTGGCATCCGTGGCCTACAAGGTCTTCATGGACAAACTGAGTGAGGCAGGGAAGTCCTGAACGCATGGTGCAAAACATGGGTTTAAACCCAAAAATCTTGGATAGGCGGAGGTTTGAAAGGGGACAAGTACGATTTTCATCGTAGGATTTTGGGTTCCCGAATTTTCAGACCAAAGCATTTTTTATATTTAAACATATTTAATGTGAGACTCTCCATGATACTGTAGTCTCCAGCTGTGATGACTTTGTGTTTTTTCGACTTAAGTTGGAGCTACTGGAGGCTGCCGTGGAAGGGTGCTTGGTTGGGATCTTCCTTTGCTTGCTGGCCTTCCCCCGTGCTCGGCTTTGCATGTGGGAGGCGGGCTTGGCTGGCTTGGTGAGTTGGAGTATTCCCATGCGATTGATTGCTGAGCTTGATAGTCTGTGTATTGTCTGTGTCATCATGATCATATCGCACTTCAGATCTCGAAGTCATGCGGGCGATTGCTGCAACAAGACAGCAATCCTAAACTTTTTTTTTGTGATTTCTATGAAATCTCAGGGATTTTCCTTCCATGCCTGGGATGGTGAAAAAAAGCCTCCAGGCCAAGCATGGGCATCTGGCTGATCGGAGCAACTGGAGCGAGGCCAGTCGTATGTAAAGAATTGTAAAGAATAATATAAGTAGTATTTAACTGATAGATGTAGTATAGAAGTGGTGTAGAAGTAGTATAGAAGGAGTATAGTATTAATGATATATATATATATACACATATATATAGTATAAAATTGGTATAGTAATAGTACGGAGTTTGCCCTCGCCGACGCCGACGACATGTCCGAACATCAAAAAACACTGTGTTTTGTGGGACAAAATGCACATGTCCATGATCATGGCTTTCATCTCGCAACGCACAGCTTAGCTACCTGTGCGTTGAATGTTACAACAACAACAACAACAACAACAACAACATCATCATCATCATCATCATCATCGATGATCTTCCCAATTGAATGTAAAGTTTCACAGGGGTGGGAATTTATATTCCTAATACCCTTGTTGATCTTCCCAATTGAATGTAAAGTTTAACGGGGGTGGGAATATATCTTCCTAATCCCCTTGTTGATCTTCCCAATTGAATGTAAAGTTTAAGAGGGGTGGGAATTTATATTCCTAATACCCTTGTTGATCTTCCCAATTGAATGTAAAGTTCAACGCGGGTGGGAATCTATATTCCTAATCCCCTTGTTGATCTTCCCAATTGAATGTGCCAGTAAAGTTTAACCTGTTGGGATTTTACATTCCTAATCCCCTTGTTGATCTTCCCAATTGAATGTAAAGTTTCACAGGGGTGGGAATTTATATTCCTAATACCCTTGTTGATCTTCCCAGTTGAATGTAAAGTTTAACGGGGGTGGGAATATATCTTCCTAATCCCCTTGTTGATATTCACAATTGAATGTAAAGTTTAAGAGGGGTGGGAATTTATATTCCTAATACCCTTGTTGATCTTCCCAATTGAATGTAAAATTTAACGGGGGTCGGAATTTATATTCCTTCAAAATCCCTAAGAAGTTCTGTCCGCGAACTGGGGGGTTTGCGCGTAATAATATTTTTGTACTATAGTAGTAGTATATCAGTAGTATATCAGTAGTATATGAGAGGTATATGTATTAATGTATAAGCCATAGTGTATGCAGCTAGTATAGAGGTAGTATAGAAGCAGTATATGTTTGCAGTATGTACCAGTAAGTTGTATTTTAGTACATAGTATATTTGAAAGCATGCGCATTAGTAATTACGTACATTCATTAGTCTATTTATTAGTTTATCTATTTGCATATTTATTAGTAAATTTATTAGTATATTTATTGTATATATTAGTGTATTGGTACAATGAAGCATCAAAATACTGATATGTACATATGTATGTGTAAGTGAACCACTTACAATAAAGTACGTAATTATACATGTATTATATTGAGAAAATGATAGATCACACACACACACATCATTATATCAAAAACATAGTTTCTAGGATATTCCTTGCATCCTTCAAAAGACCTTTGCCTCTTGTCATAGACCATCCCATTTCATGCGAGGCACTTCCACTTTGAAACTGACACTGCCTGACTCTATGCGGCAAAATGCGACAAAAGCAGTTGCAGCAGAGCTGTCCAGAAAGCTTGCCTGTGGCATGACTTGTACAACGTAGGCGTGTTCGTTGTGAGATCTTGACTTCAACTTAGACCAGTCGTCAGTCATCACCATGTGCTGCTTGCATCCGTTGCCATTTCAAGCGGTCAAAATAGCCCTCAGCCGACACATTTCTTTTCACCATGGACGAAGGAGCACCAGCACCGCCGCCAGCCGGCAGCAAGTACGAGAAGGTGCAGGCCTGGTTCTGAAGTTTTTCCTGGTGATACCCTTTTTGTGTAGACTGTGTAGACGGCTTGAACTTTTGAGTCTCCTTGCACTGCTTGCCCAGTGCTTTGGCCGCAAGAAGACTGCCGTTGCGGTTGCATTGGTCCGCACTGGAAGTGGTCAGGCGGGGTGCATACTTTGCATGGTGCGACAGAAGCTAGATGAAGCTAGTGTCAAACACAGATTGATCGCCCCGGTTGATGAGTAAAGGGTGGGTCACCCTCAAAGAGTGACAGACGGCTATTGAAATTCAACTGAATCAACCCAACCAATCAATCTCAGGGTTAGTTGATGTTAGTAGTCCGGATTGATCATTACGGCTGTATTTCAGCACAGTGGCCAATCAGGTGCGTCTCAATGGCTGCCCATTGCACACGGTGAAGCCAGACATTCTGCGAGTCAAGGCAATGATAGCAGAATGTAGGAAGTGCTGATGAGAAGTGCTGATGAGAAGTGCTGATCAGGAGTGCTGATGAGAAGTGATGCAACACGATGGAGCTTCAAGTTATTTCTGGCAAGTTGAGATGTGATAGAAGTGCTGCAATTTGTGGCCGCAGCTCAAGAGATGCTGCTGACCCGATTGAAGATGTCTTTCTTGGCTGTTGTGCAGGTGTATGAGCCGCTCCTCCTCCTGGGAAAGGACCGTTGCAAGAAGGCACAGGATGTATCGAAAAGACAAGAACTTGTGAGCTTGTGTGCCCCTATCAATATTATCAATCCCATCATGCATGAACGTCTCCAGTTCTTCACAAACTAGAAGATCTCAGGTGGACATCCGCCTGCGAGTGAAGGGAGGAGGTTTCACAGGGCAGATCTATGCCCTGCGACAGGCACTCCCACTGCATTTCTCCAGACTCTGTTTTCAGCACCATGATTTTGTAGAAAAAAGTGGATGCACAAGAAAGGTTGTTTGGTTTGACACGCACACTGCAATCGGAGAATCGGAGCAACGTACGATGCTCTTTCTGCTAGGCCATTGCCAAGGGCATCATTGCGTACTACCAGAAGTACATTGATGAGGCATCAAAGAAGGAGATCAAGGACAGATTCTCTAGTCATTCTTGTAGATGAAGGGGCCTGGTGCAGCTTCCCAACTGCGCTGCTAGCTGTAGCTCAGGACATTCTCATGGCCTATGACCGATCCCTCATTGTGGCAGATCCTCGACGTTGCGAGCCAAAGAAGTTTGGAGGTTCGGCGGTGTGAACCATGGGTCATCATGAGTCAGCATGATTCATCATGAGTCTTTATCGGGTGATATCAGGTGTAAGATGTGATAAGATGTGATAAGATGTCACAAGATGTCACAAGATGTCACAAGATGTCATAAGACGTCATCAGATGTCATGCGATATCATGAGATGTCACAAGATGTCATGAAACAAGCATATTGCAGACCCGTTGAAGCAGAGTCAAGGATCTGTCAACCTTCGCAGGTCGCTCCGCCCGTGCCCGCTTCCAGAAGTCTTACCGATGAGCAAGTGAGCAGAGCGCCGCATTTTTGGTGACTCCTCTAGGGAAGTGCATAGAAGCAGAATCTTACACGAGGCTGAGGGAGGCAAAAAGCGCTGACCAATTGCTCTCAATACGCTTGTGTACGCATACTGTGCAAGTCAATGCAGTTCTGAACAGCCGCATACTTGAAGAAATGCAATCTGCTGATGCTTGATCTTGTTTGTGCCCGTTGCCATTTCAAGCGGTCAAAATAGCCCTCAGCCGACACATTTCTTTTCAACATGGACGAAGGAGCACCAGCACCGCCGCCAGCCGGCAGCAAGTACGAGAAGGTGCAGGCCTGGTTCTGAAGTTTTTCCTGGTGATACCCTTTTTGTGTAGACTGTGTAGACGGCTTGAACTTTTGAGTCTCCTTGCATTGCTTGCCCAGTGCTTCGGCCGCAAGAAGACTGCCGTTGCGGTTGCATTGGTCCGCACTGGAAGTGGTCAGGCGGGGTGCATACTTTGCATGGTGAGACAGAAGCTAGATGAAGCTAGTGTCAAACACAGATTGATCGCCCCGGTTGATGAGTAAAGGGTGGGTCACCCTCAAAGAGTGACAGACGGCTATTGAAATTCAACTGAATCAACCCAACCAATCAATCTCAGGGTTAGTTGATGTTAGTAGTCCGGATTGATCATTACGGCTGTATTTCAGCACAGTGGCCAATCAGGTGCGTCTCAATGGCTGCCCATTGCACACGGTGAAGCCAGACATTCTGCGAGTCAAGGCAATGATAGCAGAATGTAGGAAGTGCTGATGAGAAGTGCTGATGAGAAGTGCTGATGAGAAGTGCTGATGAGAAGTGTTGATGAGAAGTGCTGATGAGAAGTGCTGATCAGGAGTGCTGATGAGAAGTGATGCAACACGATGGAGCTTCAAGTTATTTCTGGCAAGTTGAGATGTGATAGAAGTGCTGCAATTTGTGGCCGCAGCTCAAGAGATGCTGCTGACCCGATTGAAGATGTCTTTCTTGGCTGTTGTGCAGGTGTATGAGCCGCTCCTCCTCCTGGGAAAGGACCGTTGCAAGAAGGCACAGGATGTATCGAAAAGACAAGAACTTGTGAGCTTGTGTGCCCCTATCAATATTATCAATCCCATCATGCATGAACGTCTCCAGTTCTTCACAAACTAGAAGATCTCAGGTGGACATCCGCCTGCGAGTGAAGGGAGGAGGTTTCACAGGGCAGATCTATGCCCTGCGGCAGGCACTCCCACTGCATTTCTCCAGACTCTGTTTTCAGCACCATGATTTTGTAGAAAAAAGTGGATGCACAAGAAAGGTTGTTTGGTTTGACACGCATACTGCAATCGGAGAATCGGAGCAACGTACGATGCTCTTTCTGCTAGGCCATTGCCAAGGGCATCATTGCGTACTACCAGAAGTACATTGATGAGGCATCAAAGAAGGAGATCAAGGACAGATTCTCTAGTCATTCTTGTAGGTGAAGGGGCATGGTGCAGCTTCCCAACTGCGCTGCTAGCTGTAGCTCAGGACATTCTCATGGCCTATGACCGATCCCTCATTGTGGCAGATCCTCGACGTTGCGAGCCAAAGAAGTTTGGAGGTTCGGCGGTGTGAACCATGGGTCATCATGAGTCAGCATGATTCATCATGAGTCTTTATCGGGTGATATCAGGTGTAAGATGTGATAAGATGTCACAAGATGTCCTTAGATGTCACAAGATGTCCTTAGATGTCATAAGACGTCATCAGATGTCATGCGATATCATGAGATGTCACAAGATGTCATGAAACAAGCATATTGCAGACCCGTTGAAGCAGAGTCAAGGATCTGTCAACCTTCGCAGGTCGCTCCGCCCGTGCCCGCTTCCAGAAGTCTTACCGATGAGCAAGTGAGCAGAGCGCCGCATTTTTGGTGACTCCTCTAGGGAAGTGCATAGAAGCAGAATCTTACACGAGTCTGAGGGAGGCAAAAAGCGCTTACGAATTTTCTCGATGGATATACTCGTACCGTGCAAGTCACTGCAGTTCTGAAATGTTCGGAACAGCTACCAATTAGATACCATTTGTTTTGTTTCGGTGCTAACAGAAACAGCAATGATGAGTTGAAACAAAAAGCAGCACAGCGTATTTTTGTGCTGAACAATTTGCCAAGCCAGGTGTTGCTCAAACTTTGGTTTCTTTTCATTTGGGTTTGTCTGTAAATTGTGTTCTGCGCTGGTTAATCATCTTTTTCCATCCTCTTCCCATAATTTTCCAAAATACAATCAAATGCATAAAATATCATAAAATAACCATTCACGCATCCATTTCTGCACGGTGTTTCTGCATCCGTTGCTATTTGGCGACAGCGGTTTCCTCCTGCGCCGCCACCATGGACGAAGGAGCACCAGCACCGCCGCCAGCCGGCAGCAAGTACGAGAAGGTGCAGGCCTGGTTCTGAAGTTTTTCCTGGTGATACCCTTTTTGTGTAGACTGTGTAGACGGCTGGAACTTTTGAGTCTCCTTGCACTGCTTGCCCAGTGCTTCGGCCGCAAGAAGACTGCCGTTGCGGTTGCATTGGTCCGCACTGGAAGTGGTCAGGCGGGGTGCATACTTTGCATGGTGCGACAGAAGCTAGATGAAGCTAGTGTCAAACACAGATTGATCGCCCCGGTTGATGAGTAAAGGGTGGGTCACCCTCAAAGAGTGACAGACGGCTATTGAAATTCAACTGAATCAACCCAACCAATCAATCTCAGGGTTAGTTGATGTTAGTAGTCCGGATTGATCATTACGGCTGTATTTCAGCACAGTGGCCAATCAGGTGCGTCTCAATGGCTGCCCATTGCACACGGTGAAGCCAGACATTCTGCGAGTCAAGGCAATGATAGCAGAATGTAGGAAGTGCTGATGAGAAGTGCTGATGAGAAGTGCTGATCAGGAGTGCTGATGAGAAGTGATGCAACACGATGGAGCTTCAAGTTATTTCTGGCAAGTTGAGATGTGATAGAAGTGCTGCAATTTGTGGCCGCAGCTCAAGAGATGCTGCTGACCCGATTGAAGATGTCTTTCTTGGCTGTTGTGCAGGTGTATGAGCCGCTCCTCCTCCTGGGAAAGGACCGTTGCAAGAAGGCACAGGATGTATCGAAAAGACAAGAACTTGTGAGCTTGTGTGCCCCTATCAATATTATCAATCCCATCATGCATGAACGTCTCCAGTTCTTCACAAACTAGAAGATCTCAGGTGGACATCCGCCTGCGAGTGAAGGGAGGAGGTTTCACAGGGCAGATCTATGCCCTGCGACAGGCACTCCCACTGCATTTCTCCAGACTCTGTTTTCAGCACCATGATTTTGTAGAAAAAAGTGGATGCACAAGAAAGGTTGTTTGGTTTGACACGCACACTGCAATCGGAGAATCGGAGCAACGTACGATGCTCTTTCTGCTAGGCCATTGCCAAGGGCATCATTGCGTACTACCAGAAGTACATTGATGAGGCATCAAAGAAGGAGATCAAGGACAGATTCTCTAGTCATTCTTGTAGGTGAAGGGGCATGGTGCAGCTTCCCAACTGCGCTGCTAGCTGTAGCTCAGGACATTCTCATGGCCTATGACCGATCCCTCATTGTGGCAGATCCTCGACGTTGCGAGCCAAAGAAGTTTGGAGGTTCGGCGGTGTGAACCATGGGTCATCATGAGTCAGCATGATTCATCATGAGTCTTTATCGGGTGATATCAGGTGTAAGATGTGATAAGATGTCACAAGATGTCCTTAGATGTCACAAGATGTCCTTAGATGTCATAAGACATCATCAGATGTCATGCGATATCATGAGATGTCACAAGATGTCATGAAACAAGTATATTGCAGACCCGTTGAAGCAGAGTCAAGGATCTGTCAACCTTCGCAGGTCGCTCCGCCCGTGCCCGCTTCCAGAAGTCTTACCGATGAGCAACTGGAGCTGAGCGAAGCCCGAAGTATCCAAAGGCCTCTGAAGGTGGAGATCGAAGGAGGAAAGGTGAAAATCTGTGCGATGTCTGGCAGTTGATGACTTCGGACATTCTGCTTTCATCATCTTTGATCCTGCAAGCGCAGGGGTGAAGAGTTCAGTTTCGCAGCTGTTTCAGTTCAAAGATAGTAGGATGAGCTTGGGCTTGTTATGCCCCAGTCTCATGTAGAGCTTAGTTCTCAGCTGGCATGACTAGTTGCTGCAACATCTGCAGATGGTAGGCCTTTGAGCTGAAATCTGTCGAGGTCAAAAGCCTGCTCCGAAGCTCATGTTTCTGAAGGAGCTGGCCAGGACAGAACCCTGAGACCTTCCCACATTTGGAGACCAGAATTGCAGAGCAAGGGAGCAAAGGCACTTGCGTTCAGTCCCAGTGCTTCCCCTTTGCTTTCTACCAATCGGTTTCAATGTTTGCGCATGTGTATGCTAAGTCTGTGACCTGATATATCCTAGCTGATATTATATTATAATATATATATATATACATATCTCTATATTATATATATATATATATCTGTATATAATAGACAATATAATAATATAATAATATAATAATATAATAATATAATAATATAATAATATAATAATAATATATGGCCAAGTCAGCCATGCTTCATTGGTTTTCTGGAGCCAACTTTCTGCCTCAGGACATGGCCTGGGCACCGAAGCTTGGCTCGAAGGCAGGTGGTGGATTTTTCATCCCCGTGAAACGAACCTGGCAATGAAGTTCAATAAACCATTTCTTATGTTTTTTTTGTTTATTGAACTTATGTAACTTATGTTTAAACATGCTTAAACCTTAAACCATTTCAACCCATTAAAAAAGACAACTTGCTGTGATGTTTATAATTGGAGCGATACTTGTCACTGCATTTTTTACTGCTTGTCCTTGGAGGCCAAAGAGGTCAATGGAGAGCAGGCGGAGGCTGCCGACTCCATGCCCAGTGGTTTCCCTTACTAATGGGTTTTCAACTCTTGAATTCTGGATGGATTTAGATGGCATTTCAATGCAAATAAATTCATGATAATTCATGGATTTGGTTGGTTTCTGGTGGATTGTGAATTCTTTTTATGGCTTTGAAGGATATTCTGGCTTTGCAGGATGCCTCCACTGATGGCACAGCACATGAGGCATCCAGTCCGTCCAGCTCTTAGTGTCACCAGTGCCTTGAGACCGTGAATGGAAAGACAAGGTTGGGAGGTTGTGCCCTGTATCCCCCACGTGCATATCAAAGTATATCAAAGTTGTGGTTTGGGCAGTTTGGTTCAAGTTTGCTCTTCCCGTGCATTCTTCATCACCCCACTTCTCCAGCATGTGGCGCATCATCGCAACTCTGTGCCTCACTGCCGTGGCGGAGTTCACCCCCGAGCAGTTGGATAAAATGTCGTCTTCAATCCAAACCACCGCAGATCAGTTGCAGGACAAGGTGGTTTCGCTGAGCAAGGAGATTAATCCATTGACCCTGAAGGTCAGCACTGCCCCCGCCCAAATGCTCGGTAAAAGTGATGAGGAGAAGGCCGAAATGATAAAGGATTTGAAGGCGACCATCACCAAAGTTTGCGGCATCGTGGATTCCATGCGCAAGGTCCAGGCCGAGGTGCAAAAGGATTCCGCGGACGCCAAGGACACCGTGGCAAAGATCCAGGCGCAAGCGACCGACATGGCCGGTGACCTGGAGAAGTTGAAAGATGAACCCAAGATGCAGCAATACCTGAGCAAGTTCCAAAAGGCCATTGGAACCTTGGACTCAGCCGCCACTTCTGCGGCGACTTACACAACGACCTCCGCGTGCGAGACGAAGGATGAAGCCGCGTCTCGGTTGTACCTCCAAATGGCTCCAGTCTCCAGTGTCAAGTTCCATCTTCCCTCGGCTCTCCTGGGTGCTTTGGGTGCTGCGGTTCTTGGAGCCGCCTTGGTGATCTTCCGCACCAAATCCGCCCGCTCACCCCTGGCACTGATGGAGGAGGGCACCTTGGAGTGAGCGGAGTGAACCACTGTCTTCGATGTAGTGGCAGCGTTGCAACTCCTGGGCGATGTCCCAGGGGATGACAACTGCCACCCCCGAGCAGTTGGATAAAATGTCGTCTTCAATCCAAACCACCGCAGATCAGTTGCAGGACAAGGTGGTTTCGCTGAGCAAGGAGATTAATCCATTGACCGTGAAGGTCAGCACTGCCCCCACCCAAATGCTCGGTGCAAGTGATGAGGAGAAGGCCGAAATCCTAAAGGAAATCAAGGCGACCATGACCAAAGTTTGCGGCATGGTGGATTCCTTGCGCAAGGTCCAGGCCGAGGCGCAAAAGGATTCCGCGGACGCCAAGGACACCGTGGCAAAGATCCAGGCGCAAGCGACCGACATGGCCGGTGACCTGGAGAAGTTGAAAGATGGCCCCACGATGCAGCGATACCTGAGCAAGTTCGAAAAGGCCATCGGAACCTTGGACTCAGCCGCCACTTCTGCGGCGACTTACACAATGACCTCCGCGTGCGAGACGAAGGATGAAGCCGCGTCTCGGTTGTACCTCCAAATGGCTCCAGTCTCCAGTGTCAAGTTCCATCTTCCCTCGGCTCTCCTGGGTGCTTTGGGTGCTGCGGTTCTTGGAGCCGCCTTGGTGATCTTCCGCACCAAATCCGCCCGCTCACCCCTGGCACTGATGGAGGAGGGCACCTTGGAGTGAGCGGAGTGAACCACTATGAGCACTACGTCTTCGATGTAGTGGCAGCGTTGCAACTCCTGGGCGATGTCCCAGGGGATGACAACTGCTGATGGCTTTAGAATGCTTGAGCCCCCTTCTTCCCGCTTTCAATGGTGAAGCACTGTCGTGTACTGTAGAAAGGTGTGGCGTGTCAACAAAAGGTGCTTCAGCGGCTTCAGCGGAACTTCAGCCTGTCGGCATTTGATGAATAGAAACGCCCATCACATCACACGCAGATGATTTTCATGTGTTCATTGATTTTCTGGGGATGGACAGGATTCAGCGCCGGAGGCTTTCTGCACGACCATTTCCAATATCGCAGATTTGTGGTTTTAGGTTTGGCAATTTTTTGGATGATTTCATTCGGCAAACAATGACAAAAAGTACAATAAAAGTACAAACAGTTCCCGATTCTAGGTTTCTCCTCTTTCTGTTTGTATCTATTTCATTCTATTTCTGAAATCGGGGAGTTTGTGCCCTGTATCCCCCACGTGCATATCAAATCATATCAAAGTATATCAAAGTTGTGGTTTGGGCAGTTTGGTTCAAGTTTGCTCTTCCCGTGCATTCTTCATCACCCCACTTCTCCAGCATGTGGCGCATCATCGCAACTCTGTGCCTCACTGCCGTGGCGGAGTTCACCCCCGAGCAGTTGGATAAAATGTCGTCTTCAATCCAAACCACCGCAGATCAGTTGCAGGACAAGGTGGTTTCGCTGAGCAAGGAGATTAATCCATTGACCGTGAAGATCACCAATATCCCCACCCAATTGCTCGGTGCAAGTGATGAGGAGAAGGCCGAAATTCAAAAGGGTTACGAGGCGACCATGACCAAAATTTGCGGCATCATGGATTCCTTGCGCAAGGTCCAGGCCGAGGTGCAAAAGGATTCCGCGGACGCCAAGGACACCGTGGCAAAGATCCAGGCGCAAGCGACCGACATGGCCGGTGACCTGGAGAAGTTGAAAGATGGCCCCACGATGCAGCACTACCTGGGCAAGTTCCAAAAGGCCATCGGAACCTTGGACTCAGCCGCCACTTCTGCGGCGACTTACACAATGACCTCCATGTGCGAGACGAAGGATGAAGCCGCGTCTCGGTTGTACCTCCAAATGGCTCCAGTCTCCAGTGTCAAGTTCCATATTCCCTCGGCTCTCCTGGGTGCTTTGGGTGCTGCGGTTCTTGGAGCCGCCTTGGTGATCTTCCGCACCAAATCCGCCCGCTCACCCCTGGCACTGATGGAGGAGGGCACCTTGGAGTGAGCGGAGTGAACCACTATGAGCACTATGTCTTCGATGTAGTGGCAGCGTTGCAACTCCTGGGCGATGTCCCAGGGGATGACAACTGCTGATAGCTTTAGAATGCTTGAGCCCCCTTCTTCCCGCTTTCAATGGTGAAGCACTGTCGTGTACTGTAGGAAGGTGTGGCGTGTCAACAAAAGGTGCTTCAGCGGCTTCAGCGGAACTTCAGCCTGTTGGCATTTGATGAATAGAAACGCCCATCACATCACACGCAGATGATTTTCACATGTTTTCATTGATTTTCTGGGGATGGACAGGATTCAGCGCCGGAGGCTTTCTGCACGACCATTTCCAATATCGCAGATTTGTGGTTTTAGGTTTGGCAATTTTTTGGATGATTTCATTTGGCAAACAATGACAAACAGTCCAAACAGTTCCCGATTCTAGGTTTCTCCTCTTTCTGTTTGTATCTATTTCATTCTATTTCTGAAATCGGGGAGTTTGCGCCCTGTATCCCCCACGTGCATATCAAATCATATCAAAGTATATCAAAGTTGTGGTTTGGGCAGTTTGGTTCAAGTTTGCTCTTCCCGTGCATTCTTCATCACCCCACTTCTCCAGCATGTGGCGCATCATCGCAACTCTGTGCCTCACTGCCGTGGCGGAGTTCACACCCCCGAGCAGTTGGATAAAATGTCGTCTTCAATCCAAACCACCGCAGATCAGTTGCAGGACAAGGTGGTTTCGCTGAGCAAGGAGATTAATCCATTGACCGTGAAGATCACCAATATCCCCACCCAATTGCTCGGTGCAAGTGATGAGGAGAAGGCCGAAATTCAAAAGGGTTACGAGGCGACCATGACCAAAATTTGCGGCATCATGGATTCCTTGCGCAAGGTCCAGGCCGAGGTGCAAAAGGATTCCGCGGACGCCAAGGACACCGTGGCAAAGATCCAGGCGCAAGCGACCGACATGGCCGGTGACCTGGAGAAGTTGAAAGATGGCCCCACGATGCAGCACTACCTGGGCAAGTTCCAAAAGGCCATCGGAACCTTGGACTCAGCCGCCACTTCTGCGGCGACTTACACAATGACCTCCATGTGCGAGACGAAGGATGAAGCCGCGTCTCGGTTGTACCTCCAAATGGCTCCAGTCTCCAGTGTCAAGTTCCATATTCCCTCGGCTCTCCTGGGTGCTTTGGGTGCTGCGGTTCTTGGAGCCGCCTTGGTGATCTTCCGCACCAAATCCGCCCGCTCACCCCTGGCACTGATGGAGGAGGGCACCTTGGAGTGAGCGGAGTGAACCACTATGAGCACTATGTCTTCGATGTAGTGGCAGCGTTGCAACTCCTGGGCGATGTCCCAGGGGATGACAACTGCTGATAGCTTTAGAATGCTTGAGCCCCCTTCTTCCCGCTTTCAATGGTGAAGCACTGTCGTGTACTGTAGGAAGGTGTGGCGTGTCAACAAAAGGTGCTTCAGCGGCTTCAGCGGAACTTCAGCCTGTTGGCATTTGATGAATAGAAACGCCCATCACATCACACGCAGATGATTTTCACATGTTTTCATTGATTTTCTGGGGATGGACAGGATTCAGCGCCGGAGGCTTTCTGCACGACCATTTCCAATATCGCAGATTTGTGGTTTTAGGTTTGGCAATTTTTTGGATGATTTCATTTGGCAAACAATGACAAACAGTCCAAACAGTTCCCGATTCTAGGTTTCTCCTCTTTCTGTTTGTATCTATTTCATTCTATTTCTGAAATCGGGGAGTTTGCGCCCTGTATCCCCCACGTGCATATCAAATCATATCAAAGTATATCAAAGTTGTGGTTTGGGCAGTTTGGTTCAAGTTTGCTCTTCCCGTGCATTCTTCATCACCCCACTTCTCCAGCATGTGGCGCATCATCGCAACTCTGTGCCTCACTGCCGTGGCGGAGTTCACCCCCGAGCAGTTGGATAAAATGTCGTCTTCAATCCAAACCACCGCAGATCAGTTGCAGGACAAGGTGGTTTCGCTGAGCAAGGAGATTAATCCATTGACCGTGAAGATCACCAATATCCCCACCCAATTGCTCGGTGCAAGTGATGAGGAGAAGGCCGAAATTCAAAAGGGTTACGAGGCGACCATGACCAAAATTTGCGGCATCATGGATTCCTTGCGCAAGGTCCAGGCCGAGGTGCAAAAGGATTCCGCGGACGCCAAGGACACCGTGGCAAAGATCCAGGCGCAAGCGACCGACATGGCCGGTGACCTGGAGAAGTTGAAAGATGGCCCCACGATGCAGCACTACCTGGGCAAGTTCCAAAAGGCCATCGGAACCTTGGACTCAGCCGCCACTTCTGCGGCGACTTACACAATGACCTCCATGTGCGAGACGAAGGATGAAGCCGCGTCTCGGTTGTACCTCCAAATGGCTCCAGTCTCCAGTGTCAAGTTCCATATTCCCTCGGCTCTCCTGGGTGCTTTGGGTGCTGCGGTTCTTGGAGCCGCCTTGGTGATCTTCCGCACCAAATCCGCCCGCTCACCCCTGGCACTGATGGAGGAGGGCACCTTGGAGTGAGCGGAGTGAACCACTATGAGCACTATGTCTTCGATGTAGTGGCAGCGTTGCAACTCCTGGGCGATGTCCCAGGGGATGACAACTGCTGATAGCTTTAGAATGCTTGAGCCCCCTTCTTCCCGCTTTCAATGGTGAAGCACTGTCGTGTACTGTAGGAAGGTGTGGCGTGTCAACAAAAGGTGCTTCAGCGGAACACGCAGATGATTTTCCTGGGACATCATGCAGCGCCGGAGGCTTTCTGCACGGCCATTTCCAACATTGGCAGATCTGCGGTCTCAGGTTGGGCCAGGAATGGATAGGAATGGTAGATCTGGTAAACGCAGTGATCATATTATGATAAAGCCTTCCTGATTTCACCAGATTTCACCAGATATAGATTCAATAAACCATACATTACCACTGTTTGTTGAGTTTATTTACAACTGTAATGCTGCAGGTTGACCAGCAGCTGCAGGAAGCATGTGCAATGCGAAGTAGCTGGGAGGCCATTTTTGAGAAGTTCTCAGCTGCTAGGTGGTATCGTTTCTTTGCACTTAAAACTTTAAAAACATCATCAAACATATTCAGAATATCAGAACGAAATCCACAGATCACCTCACAATTGATGAATACCCGTCAGAATGAGTGGCGCAACCACGGACCATTCATATTCAATTGTTTTTAATTGTTTTTACTGTAATGGCTGCTATTCTTCCAAAAGTATTACCTTTTAAGTGGCCGTCAGGTCTCGACCGAGAACTCTCGACTGTCCCATGACCTTAGGCAGGTTCCGCGGTTCCGCGACTGTCGCTGTCCAAAGGACGGATTTGGAAATTTAGGAGAAAGCCACCAAATCGGATTGCTTTTTGATGCTTTTTTGAATCATTGTTTATCAATGTGTATTTATCAAATTTGTTTAGCAAAAAGGCAAAAATCATTGTTTATCGGATGTTTATCAAAATGTATCATCATTTTCGTCTCATGTTCCTATATTTCACATGATTCACATGGCGAGAAAGTTTCCATCATCTTCCCATGAAAATTGAGATCTTGGGATCCTGAGGGCAGCGCGCTCTCAACTCGAAGAGGGAGAGATTGAAGCGGCCTGGCAGGAGGAGGCTCGATGCTGGCTGGTTTTTGTTCCATTGTTTTTATAGAACGGGCTAGCGCCCGGGTGCCGCCGACCCCCCTGCTTGGGGGTTGGGCTGGAGGCGCAAGCACAGGAGGTGGAAAACCCTTGGATGGTTTTAAGGGTTTAGGGGCTGGCAAACGGCAAGCTTGGACGCCCAGAAGAAGCCATGGATGTGGCCTTGGAAGAAGCGATGGATCTGGCCGTGGGGTCGCTGTGGCCTGCGTTGGAGGCAGGCCTTTGGACGCCTGTTGGCTGAAGGTTGCAAGGGCTTTGACGTTTTGGGGGTTTGGAGGGTTTGGAGGGTTTGGAGCGTTTGGAGGGTTTGGCGCGTTTGGAGGGTTTGGAGCGTTTGGAGCGTTTTAAGGGTTTAGGGGCTGGCAAACGGCAAGCTTCGACGCCCATAAGAAGCCATGGATGTGGCCTTGGGACGCCTGTTGGCTGCGAAGGCCTGGCGAACGGCACGCTGGACCGCCCAGAAGAAGCGACGGATCTGGCCTTGGGGTCGCTGTTGCCTGCGCTGGACGCCCATAAGAAGCCATCGATGGGTGGTTTTAGAGGTGTGGAGGGTTTGGAGCGTTTGGAGCCCATAGACGCTTTTGCAGAGCTTTGAGGGTTTCAAAGGTTTTGACGTCTTGGGGGTTTGGAGGGTTTGGAAGGTTTGGAGCGTTTGGAGCGTTTTAAGAGTTTAGGGGCTGGCAAACGGCAAGCTTGGACGCCCAGAAGAAGCCATGGATGTGGCCTTGGAAGAAGCAATGGATCTGGCCGTGGGGTCGCTGTGGCCTGCGTTGGAGGCAGGCCTTTGGACGCCTGTTGGCTGAAGGTTGCAAGGGTTTTGACGTTTTGGGGGTTTGGAGGGTTTGGAGGGTTTGGAGCGTTTGGAGGGTTTGGAGGGTTTGGAGGGTTTGGAGCGTTTTAAGGGTTTAGGGGCTGGCAAACGGCAAGCTTGGACGCCCATAAGAAGCCATGGATGTGGCCTTGGGACGCCTGTTGGCTGCGAAGGCCTGGCGAACGGCACGCTGGACCGCCCAGAAGAAGCGATGGATCTGGCCTTGGGGTCGCTGTTGCCTGCGCTGGAAGCAGGCCTTGGGACGCCTGTTGGCTGCGAAGGCCTGGCGAACGGCACTCGGGACCGCCCAGAAGAAGCGATGGATCGGGCCTTGGGGTCGCTTTTGCCTGCGCTGGACGCCCATAAGAAGCCATCGATGGTTTTAGGGGTTTGAGGGTTGTGGAGGGTTTGGAGCGTGTGGAGCGTTTGGATGGTTTTAAGGGTTTAGGGGCTGGCAAACAGCAAGCTTGGACGCCCAGAAGAAGCCATGGATGTGGCCTTGGACGAAGCGATGGATCTGGCCGTGGGGTCGCTGCGGCCTGCGTTGGAGGCAGGTCTTGGGACGCCTGTTGGCTGAAGGTTGCAAGGGTTTTGACGTTTTGGGGGTTTGGAGGGTTTGGAGGGTTTGGAGCGTTTGGAGGGTTTGGAGGGTTTGGAGGGTTAGGGGCTGGCAAACGGCAAGCTTGGACGCCCATAAGAAGCCATGGATGTGGCCTTGGGACGCCTGTTGGCTGCGAAGGCCTGGCGAACGGCACGCTGGACCGCCCAGAAGAAGCGATGGATCTGGCCTTGGGGTCGCTGTTGCCTGCGCTGGACGCCCATAAGAAGCCATCGATGGTTTTAGGGGTTTGAGGGTTGTGGAGGGTTTGGAGCGTGTGGGGCGCTTGGATGGTTTTAAGGGTTTAGGGGCTGGCAAACGGCAAGCTTGGACGCCCATAAGAAGCCATTGATGTGGCCTTGGGATGCCTGTTGCTAAGAAAGACAAGTTCCACACCTGCGGTGGTCCCAGGCGCCGCCCCTGCCTTGGCCAAGGCCGGGGTCGGCGGATTTCCATGGGAAAATCCATCCAAAATGATTAAAATGGGTACGGGTAGCCCCATTTTTGAAGACCTCCATTATCCATATATCACATAATATCACATAAATATCACATAAATATCACATAATATCACATAATATCACATAATATCACATAATTCACTGAATTCACATAATATCATACTGCAAAATACTGTATCATACTGTATCATACTGTATCATGCTGTATCATGCTGTATCATGCTGTATCAAGCTGTATCACTATATATGTTTAAATTGAAACAACTGATATACTAGTATCAACAGTATCACTGTATCACACTGTACCACACTGTATCACACCGTATCACACTGTATCACACTGCATCACACTGCATCACACTGCGTCACACTGCGTCGCACTGCGTCACACTGCGTCACACTGTGTCACACTGCGTCGCACTGCGTCACACTGCGTCACACTGCATCACACTGCATCACACTGCGTCACACTGCGTCACACTGCGTCACACTGTGTCACACTGCATCACACTGCATCACACTGCATCACACTGCATTACACTGCATCACACCGTATCGAAAGCGAAAAACAGCAGAAAATCCATGGTTTTGAACGAGCAGGGTTTCCTGCAAGGTTTCCTTCTTGAATTAACTCCACCTGCAAAGTTCAAGTCACGTCAGGTAGAATTCTGGAAAGAAGAAGTTAGCAGACTGGAGGCTCAGAGCATCAGAAAGCTGTCAGAAGTTTCAGTTTCAATTGTCATCCCATCGTTTTTCCTATCGACGAAAGTCGAATGCGCAGGCAGAGGTACTGGCGCTAAGACAGCGCCGGGCGGAGGCCGAAATCATTTGACTTAGCATCCACCTACTTGTACTTTTTGCAGATGGATGCAGATGGATTTTCCGTTCTACGATGTTCGCGCTACTCTCACATCCTGCTACTTGTAGACCAAAATGATCCAAAACTAAACTATCCACAACTAAATGATCCTATGTTTGATCAACAACATGTTCTCTTAATGATCTATATCGATTAGGGTCGTTTCTGGAGTTACCGTACCTTCACTCATAGGGCTGGACACGTTTTGGAGGCGGAAGCGAAGGCTCAGCTCAAGGTGGGCAAGGAATCCACGGTGCGCACGGATCCAGGGGATCCAGGGGGCTGACTCGGCTGGGCTGACTGGGACTCGTCACAAGGGGCCTGGAGATCCCTGGAGATCCTGGATGGCAACGAAATCTTTCGCAGGTTGTGGCACTTTCCGGAGCTGAACAGCAGCTTGCAGAGCTTGAAAGTGAGCAGGCTCTGGGATGCCCATGCTACTGTACTTAAACATGGGGCATCAAGCACCTGGGCGAATAAACCTTTTCTTCTATTCCTTCTAAGATTCCTAAGTCTGATTCATGCAGAATGGTATCTAGATACTTGCCAAATCTTGCCGAGAGGGTCTACTTTAAATCTTACTGCAGCATTCAACAGTTGCAGTCTGATTTGGGAGAATTTGTCCAGTGATCTTAGAGAACAAAATGAAACGCATTCGGGGTCAAGCTGTTTGCATTTGTTTGCAATGTTGACAGGCTGTCAATGCCCGGTATACAGTACACATTTATGATGTACATCTGTCTTATTACCAAGTTTCTGGTGTGTTCCTTTTACAAACAACATCAACTTACGCCATTCCCAGCGATGACATTCCCAACGCGCAGGCCAGCTGCGAAGCTGCCTGTGAGAAGGCAGAGCGGCAAAATGCCAAGCTGCGACATAGCTTGAAGCAGAATTCCAGCCTTGAGCGAGGCCAGTCCGCGGCAGAAAAATCTGGAATGGTATGCCCCCCCTGTTGGTTTTGGATATGAAAAAAAGAAGAAAAAGAGTCTGAATTTGCCATCCACACGTCGAAAGCGAGTTTTTTAGTGACCGCCATGGTTACTGTAAATATGATCAATTATCAATATAGGTTTGGGGTTGTTGGTTTTGGAAATACTTTTGGGATGAATTGACACCGCCATCACTAAAATCGAACATGTTCCTGATGTTTTCTGCAATTTTTGCTTCAATTCAACCAACCAATGCTATCAAAAATGGATTTACAAGCCAAAGTTAGATAAGTTAGGAATTTCCATGGGTTTCCTGCCTGTCTTTTCCTTTGAACCTGACTGGTTTCACCACCCAATGCCTTTGTTTCCAGGTGGCGCTGCCCGTCTCTTTGTGAGCGCGTTGCCTGCACTGGATGCTGCAGCTGTTGAGGCCGCAAGAACACACGACTCGGTTGATGTTAGTGCGAAATGATGCAAACATCACAATGGTTGGGGATGCTTGCTGTATCCCGGATGTTTTTGTCCAATTTTGGACATGCAAATGTTTTTTTCTTTGTATATGAAGGCGGTCTATGTGGTTTGAATTTCCAGCATTTCCTGGAGCCTTTGCCCGTCAGGCTGCACGGACAGCCCTGCATGCTCACATGCAGAAGAAACTGAGCGGCCCAAAGAGTTGAGGGATGTGCCCCGAATGGCCCCGAACAACCGCGCAGTCGAGTTCCCGAAGAACGTGGAGGCCGAATTCCGCAGAGATCAGCCGTTGTGCCAATCGAATGCGGGACGTATGTGTCCAGAGACAAAAGAAGCGCTTCATTCCTTGGGCCTGAAATCGGAGTACTTGGGGAATCTTGGAGATGGGGATGGAGCAAACCCCACCACACCTCCAAAACTGGATAACTGGATAGAATATGATAGAATTAACATGGGTGGTCAGTGGTTTGGACTGGTTTTGATGCCATGATGCACTGGAGCAATGTTGGCTTTGCAGTGAGATGAGCCTATAGGTCATTCACAATTCACAGGGCAAAAAGATGCAAAAATGGATAAAAATGGCAACTAGTTTGCGCAGAAAAGGCTACTCTACCATCTACATCCATCTACATCCGCCTATCACATTAGTAATCATTAGTACGATCATATCACATATACCAGTAGTACCGCACAAGGCGGTGGTGGAAGTTTCAAAAATAGGAAACCTATAGGAGAAGTTGCATTGCGGGCGCCCACGAGGAACACTAATTGAAATCCGCCACTCGCCCCACTCGCCCCACTTGCCCTGGGCTAGCAAATTAATTAAAATCCGCCACTCGCCCCACTCGCCCCACTTGCCTTGGTAGGGAAATTAATTGATTTTGGCCACTCGCCCCACTCGCCCTACTCGACCCCACTCGCCCTACTCGCCCCACTCGCCCTACTCGCCCGACTCGCCCCACTCGCCCGACTCGCCCCACTCCGCCCCACTTGACGGGGGCAAGCGGGGCAAGCGGGGCAAGCGGGGCAAGCGGGGCAAGCGGGGCAAGCGGGGCAAGCGGGGCAAGCGGGGCAAGCGGGGCAAGCGGGGCAAGCGGGGCAAGCGGGGCAAGCCGGGCAAGCGGGGCAAGCGGGGCAAGCGGGGCAAGCTGGGCAAGGGGGCAAGCGGGGCAAGCGGGCACGCGATATACACTGGCAGGCCTCATTTTGCGCAAATTGGAGCTCCCACCTGATAAACGAGAATAGTCAAAATTACTTTCCTCGAGTGGCCCCGGTCAACTGGCATTCTGGTTGACATATATATATATATTGAGATTCTATCGGGCATTCTGGCATTCTATCTGATATTCTATCTGGCATTCTGTCTGAGATTTCATCTGACATATTCCCTGACATTCTATCTGGCATTTTTTATGGGAGTCTATGTGGCATACATTCTGACATCCTATCTGGCATTCTTGCGGGTCTGTGTGTTTCCAGATGCATGTTTCCCAATGTGATTGAACTTGCAAACATTGGCTCTATCTGGTGGTGCCACTTGCCACTGTCAAGATTAGCGGCCCTTGGCTTACCTGTGCTCTCTGAGCCGGGCTGTCGATGGTATCTCGAGCATACAAAAGTACAATCACAAGGATGTATGTTATAACCCGTACTTGGTTAGGCAGTGGGCCGTATGGAAATATAGAGATTTGGTATAGTGGTTCGAACCAAGCCAGTAAGTAGCGACGCAAAGTGTGCTGGTGTATATAATGTCTTGAGCTGTGGATTGCAGATTCTGTTTGTGATTGGGACATCTTGAAGTCAACAGCGAGATGTCAGGAACTCATCTCCCGGCGACAGAAATTCATCATCTGTACCGTTACCACGACTGCCCTATTTGGAGTCTTTTTTTTGCAGTTTATCTTCACGCTCATGCCCGAGGCCGGGGTTGAATTTGGTGGAGTGATTGTGTCTTTGCGGGCAGGATTGGCATTCAGAGATAACGTGAACTTTAGAACCTTGATTTCGAATCTTGTTGCTTGTTTCAGATGTTTCCGAAAGATTTCGTTTTGAGTCATGTCAGCTTTAGACGCTGCGCACTTTTCGGCTCAAGAGAATCTCACAGAGTCGGGTCAGTGAAACTTGCTCATTCCTGAGAGCACGCATCCATCGCCGGACCAGCGCGCATCTTGTCAAGCTGTTGTGAAGTTGCCAACTTCTGGTAGTCGCTGGGCTACTGTGGAACTTTGCCAGCACTTGCTTCCACGGCCATGCATGGCTTGGGAATATACCTTTGATTAATGCTGGGGGCTTTAGCTGCTCCCCGATGATTTCAGATCAGCTGTCTCAAGGGCCAGGAAACGATTCAGCTTCGTTCGAAAAGCGCAGAAAAAGCCGGCTGGCTTGGTTGTGGTCTGTGTCATGCTGCATGCTGCCATTACTTCAAAACCACTCACCTGATTTTCGATTTTTTCCCAGTTTTCCAGGTTCGCAGACCGCGCTGCAGCTGTACTGCACCATGGTGTCCTTGTTTGCGTCAAACACCTTCTCATTATTTTCAATTGTTTTTCTCGATTTTCCTGGTTCGCAGTCCTTGCAGCAGCTGTGCTGCACCATGGTTTCATTGTTTGCATCAAAATTGCCAGTGCCATGTTGACTGTGCCTATTTGCAACTGTCGCTCCCGTTGCGCTCAAGTTTGATCGCCTGAGCTACTGTTGTCCACCTGTGCCGGGAAATTGACTTAAACAAATACATTCGCTTCATTGGCCGCCATGGAAACGCAAGACATAACTGCGGTACTGCCCAGTGGGAAACAGCAGACTGTCACGCTAGCAGTATCAGCCAAGGTTCAGGAACTCAAAGAGATTTTGCAGCGATGCTTCGATCAACAGTTCTTGGTCATCCTGGACGCGCGAGGTGCGGTGTTGCGGGTCGATGGTATGATTCCTTCGGCTGCAAGCGCACACTGCGTTACATGTGTCGCGCGTTTCCCTTGTCTCGCTTCAACCTGGAAAGCCTTTGCTCTGTGGTGTCACAATGACGTGTAGTGACATGGGGGCATCCTGCCTACGGCTCCGACAGCTCTGGTGTGTGCAAGCGCCTGCGCAAAGTGGTGCAGATCGTTGCCAGCGGCCGCGCTTTTGCCGCGGTGACATCATACGGATCTGTTGTTACCTGGGGCTTGCCGAAGATGGTTGCTGACACTGCAATGGTACGGCAGCAGCTCTATGATGTGAGAAGCGTGACTGCAGCTGCCCAGGGCGAGACACAGGTGCCAAAACCCAAAGCTCATTGAGTTTCTTGTGCCCACTTGGAAAGTCACGCACAAGGAATTGGAGCTCATGGAAAAGAACTTGATTTCGAAAGGGGGGCGCAACGGGGTCCCACCTGCCCAGAAATGCTCTTGGTTCAAAGATGTTGTCCAGGATGGTGACGTGCACCCGCATCCAGGGCCATCAGGACGCAGCCAGCAGATGCAGCTCATGTCTATTAATGTTGGTGGGGCCTCCAACTGCTGGGCGGCGGCCCGATGGGCAACTAAACATCGCCCGCCTGTGGTGGTGGTACAAGAAGTTTGCATGAACACGGCTAAGCAAGCTGACTTGGCTGACTTTATGCTCCGAAATGGTTATAGATCTTGGTTTGCTTGCCCTCCGACCCACGGTGGGGTAGGAATTTTTGTAAGGTTTGATAAATCTGCACACCTCCTCAGAACTCACACCCGTGCCGAAGGTCAAGCGGTCATGCTCCAGCTCGACCACGCCATCCTCATAGGTGCCTATTTAGCGCCTAACTCAGCGGCATGCGACATTGCTTCCACTTTGGATGAATGGGTTGGAGCAACTGGTGAACACACCCCTTTGGTTATTGTGGGTGACTTTAACGAGGAACCTTGTTTTGGGGAAAGGTGGAACCACATAAGCGGATTTGGCGGCACTTGTGCGGTTTGCAATCAGAATGGTGTCCCACAGCCCACGCGGTGGTCTGGTACCCGGTGTATTGATTGGATTTGGGCTTCGCACTTGCTAACAATTGACAAGGTGCGATTTGAAGATGTTTGGTTTTCCGACCATAAGCCCGTTTGTTTTTCTCTGCAATATAGCCAAAGCCATGTTTGGTCCTTTAAGGCAGTTCAAACGAGGAAATGGACGGCGCCGCCAAATGTTTCTTTGCAAGAATGGAAAAATGCTTTAAAAACTCCGTGGTCGGAAGTCACGGTCCCTCCAGTTTCTAATACCAACCAAGAATGGAGTGATTTTTGTCACATTGCGGAGAGAGCACACCTCTCTGCCCTGGAAACCTGCGGGGCTACTGTTCCAAGGCCAAGCCGGAGTAGAAACAAAGGTTCAGAGTTTCAAGTTGAAGCAGCGAATGCTCGTACCTTTCGCATCGCCCAGCAAGCGACTTTCAAAGAACTCCGGCTGCGCAAGCTTTTGGGCCGTATTGCTGAAGCCCAAAACCAGCAAAGCCGTGACCGCCAGCCACCGGCCATCCTGATCCGTCGTATCTTCTCTCATCCTTTTGTTGTCAGAGAAGGCTTGCAAAGCTTAGGTGAAGCCAGGGAATGGGCACAGCAAGAATTGCGTAGCCATGTCCAAAGCACTCAAACAGAGCAGCTCCAAGCTTGGCGCGAGCGTATGAGGTCCAGTTGCAAAGACGCAGGTCGGTGGGTCAAGAAATGCAACACATTGCCTGTCACTTCTGTTTACGATGGTTATAAGCAAGGAAAAGCAACCTCTTCTGATCATGAATCCTTAAAGGCTGTTCTTTCTTTTTGGCAAAAAATTTGGGAACGGGACCGGCCCGACCCTGAAGAAGCAGTTGATTTCTGGAAACTTGGTGTTCCCCAACCTTCACCCCTAGCTTGGACCCCTCTCACTGCTGAGGAACTCTTCAGCCAAGCCTCTAGGCTGCGTGGCACAGCCGCCGGATGCGATGGGTGGTCAGGTGACGAAATTGCAGCCTGGCCTAAAGAAGCTTGGGTCATCCTGGTTGAGTTGTTGAACAGATGGTTCTCGAGAAGTGAGGTTCCCACGGTTTGGAAAAGTATTCGGCAAATTTTGCTCCAAAAACCAAACGCTAAGTTGCGTGACACGGATCACGCGTTGCCAGCCAAAGATTTGCGGCCAATTGCGATTCAGAGCGTCATCTGGCGCGCCATTGCCTCTGCGTGGACGCGCAGACCGCAGACGCGAGCTTGGGTCACGAGCTGGGTCCACTCCTCAG